GTAGGTTTAAAAAAAAACACTGATCAGTAGTTATATATTAGAGGAGGAGCCTACAGGCATCTGTGTACAAAGTAATAAAATCTCCTTCTCTTTATGCTATTCATGTTCCTTCTAGGAGTATGATGGAGAAATGAGATCTATTGCATTCTGTCTGGCATCTATCATCTATCCCTGGAGGGTGGTTGTGGTTAAGGGAGGTTATAATAACTATGGAAGTATTCAACTTGAGAGATACCAAAATTTATATTAATTCAACATTTATTAAGTAATCACAAATGTCAATCTCTATAACAAGTAGAATGAAGCAATTATAGCACCAATGAAAAGTCTACATTTCTAACTTCGAGACATTTACAAATACTAATTATAACACATGCACTCAAGTATCAGAATGTGATATACATTATAGACCCTACTTTCAAAGCACAATTCATTTAACTTTTAAGAGTTTTACTGCTCTAAGTTCAAATGAGCAATGGTGACAGCATACACAAGACCCATGCAAACTCAAGCAGACAAAAACCCAGCATAGAACTGAGCAGCAGGCCCAAATCTTAGCCAAAGAACTATTAGGTAGCTGATTACTACTGAGCAAGGAAGAGCTGATCATCTTTGAGGGAGTGAATAGAGATAAACTCACTAGATCTCAGTGGATGAACTTGCACTGAGGGACATATGGGGACACTTGCTTGACTCCACAGACCCTAAATAAATGACAGAATGCATGATCCACTTGGTGGGTATGGGAGGGTGCCAATGGGGAAGAGGGTATAACAATGGTAAAGAGCTTATTTATGAAATACACAAAAAATCAATAAAAATATACAAAAAAGTTTTATAAAGTATGTACTATTTTCTTACAGATGATGAGATCTGGATTAAGGAGATTATGTAGTGTCCCCAGTGCATCACACCCAGAAAGTAGCAGACAACCATGATTTGCAACCATGATGTAATTATTTAAACCATGATTTAATAGAATGCCAAGAGTATGAATTTCTAAAACTACTTCTTTGGCGCTTCCTCCTAACCAGGCCCTTTATACAAAGTATTTTTATAAAGAAGGATATTATTAAGAATTCTTTCTTAGAACTGAATTTTATAGAGCTAAACTAACTTCGAAATTTACCAATAGGTAAAAAAATAACTGAACAATTAGAAAAAAGTTAAATTGATTATAGATGAAAATGTACTTTATTAAAATTTGTGGTAGATTTCTTAAACAAATTTTTGTGGAAAATCTGTATAATAAATGATTTTAACAGGAGAAAAGATGGAAATCAATTAGCTAAGCTTCTACTCAAGGAAGTCCCTGAGAGGACAAATTGAACATCCATCAAAAAGAAGTTCGGTTGTGGTGAATTTTAAATCATAAATTAATGGCTATTAAACATAAAAACACAGGGGTAAACCATGAAATCACAATATGAATATTTAAGAGAGTGCTAAAATGAAAAAATGGCTAACAAGATCAATTTAGACACAAACTGTGTAGATACAAATTTTGATATCAGAAATGCAATAAATAACATAACCACAGATCCCACAGATTTAGTGGGATGAAAGAAAACATGATGAAGTTTATCTCAGTAAATTGAGTATCTAAGATTCATAATCTGAATTTTCATTGAAAAAGTCAATATTATTTTGCAAGAATTTATTTTATTTTAAAATAGAAATGATAATTTGTTTAACTCAATAATCAGATTTCATATAAATTCAATATGGATGACATACTCTTCTGAAGTGAAGAAAAATTTTCTTTTAAAAATTATTATTTTGGTCTTTTTGAGAGAGGGTAGTCTGTAGTCCTGACTCCCCTGGAAATCACTATGTAGACCAGGCTAGTTCAATCTTAGGGAGATCTATTTGCTACTTTCTCCTGACTGCTGAGATTAAAGGAGTGCACTATTAGGCCTGGCCCTGGCTATGAAGAAATACTTTCTAAAGATTAAATGTAACTGGTACACAACAAATTGCACAGCACTGAACTGTGATCTTGTAATAGAAGGCATGATAGAATTCCTGAAAATAAAGTCTAGAGCTTTTCAATAACAAGTAAAACAAAAAAAATTTTGCAAGTAAAACAAAAATTTCCTCATCAAATATCGAAGAGTTAATTTTCTTACAATCCTTTTGGATTCCAGAATTTTTAATGTGGAAAAAATTTTCAATGTTATTAATGCTATGAATTTATGGATCTTTATTGGGATTATGTCAACAAAAAGTCAACAGACAGCACTGGCAAGAAGTTTATATTCATTTGAGATGCTATTTCCATAAAATTAAAATTATTAAAGTTATAAAATATCTACTAGACGTCAGTTTCCTGACACAGAAAATTTAGCTAGCAGGAATGTGACTAATTAACATCATCTGAAGGATATTCTCAGGTAGGACTGATGGCCATCTGCTTGACCTTGCACTAGATTGGTGTAGAAGGCAAGCCTATAAATCACTGCTTCCCAAATGTTATCACTCCATCAGTCCATCAGTCCATTCTATTCCATGAAGGGATGGAATGTGGATGGGAGAAGATTCCTCTTTTTTTCACACACCTTTACATTGATAGCTGTGCTTACTTGAACTTGAAGAAAGATGAGTCTGAACAGGTTTATCTAAAGTTCTACCCAGCAAAAGACAAGCAGAAGACTCAGAGTTAGTGAGGGAGGTTTCAAGACAAAAGAGTTGATGGACAAGATAATGAGGAGAGAGCACAGATGTGGAGAGGCACAAGACAAAGGATACTGAACTTTGCCTAATGAAACTTGTATTTCCTCAAAAGATTTTCTAATTTCTGACTTTAGGATGAGAAACAGTGCCAGAAATTTAAAATGTGAAGTATGTATCTGCATTTAAGTAAATATGTATCCGTAATCTGTCAACCCTCTACATAGATTTATACTTTGATGTTAAGAATAATCCATTTTAAATTGGGTAAGAAAGTTCATGCCTATAATTCCAACACTCATAGGGCTGAGGCAGGAGAATTGCCAAGAGTCGAAGGCCAACTTGTACTATGCAGTGAGAATGAGGCTCATATAAAGTACAGTGTCAAATCATCTTTCAAAAACCAACAGCAAATATAAAATCCAGAAAAAAATAACATTTTGGAGGAAATTTAGTTACCTGCTCTTTGCTATAAAAATATGTTATTACTAAAGCAATGGAAGCTTTAAATAATAAGAAATTTATAGTAGCTATCTTAAGTAGATAAATGATGAAATATTCTAAGAAAATAATCAAGAATTAACTGTTGAAAGTTTTACATTTAAAAAATTTTGGAGTGATTTTTCCTATAATATATTGACTCATGATACTACTCTAGAAGATTTTTAAATTATTAGCATAAAAATTATGGGGTTTTATTTACATTATTCTTGTTGTTGATAAAATTCCTTAAAGTAGTATTTATGTGATAGTGTACTGTACTTTATACTAGTAATACTTGTGAAATGAACAAAAAGTCAGGATATCTATGAATGTTGAATCAGTGGCTTTTTACACCATAGTCTTCATAAGGTATAAATTAAGGACAACCTAATTCTGTAAGAATCTATGTTGATTTTGAAAACATTTAAATGATTAGACACAGAGTAAGACAAATGTCTATTATAGCTTCCAGTTTGTACAGCACAGTAGCCACTGACCTGTATAAGACTGACACTGGTTTTCAAAGATAAGAATTTCATTTTGTTCTAAAAAACATAATTTGCAATTGCCTTTTCAACTACACACTTAATTTGCCTCTAGGAAATCACTTGCTGCAAATATTTACATAAAAAGTTTGGGTTAGTGCTTATTCAGTAGAAAAGACTAGATTTAGACATATAGTATATTATGTCACTTCATCTCCTTGTATACTAAAAGAAATACAGAAAATTACTTTTCTTCTTGAGACATTTATTTATTTTTATTTGACATTTATTTATTTTTATTTATAAAACGTTACATGATTCTCAACTAGGGAGATGAAGTGAGAATACACACTGTAAGATGTAATTCAGGAACATTTCAATGGAGTCAGTGTTCCCCTATTCACATCTAAACAATCTGTCTATGGTTTTAGGGGGAATGTCTAACTCAGAAACTACAGGAGCAATTAAAGTTAACACTCTGGAAATTCTAAATGTTGGCTCCTTCGATGCTTATGATGACCATGGGGAAAGAACTTTGCAACTTAAAAAGAAAGAAAAAGTAAGACACAAGACTGATAAGCACCAACCACTGCACTATTTGAAATTGGAGATAATAGAGAATTTCAGGTACCTGCATAAGAAAGTCTGAGAACACCCATTCTATCAAAACAAACTAAATATATGTGTCATGACACTGAAGTTCTCATAGAAATGAGAATCCTAACAAAATATACATGGTGATGGTGTCTCATCTAGTTTGTATTTCACATCTCCAGTTAATTCAAATTACCTGACTGCCCAAAACCATCCATCAGCAAATCATGTGAACAGCATATATTAAATGCATATACACAATAGGTAATCATGCCCTCTGAGGAACCTTTTTATATAAGTCAAAATCAGAAATCGTACTTTTTTCCTAATCTTGAAAAAACATTTTATACAATAGTCAACATACTGTTCTATTTTTAGGTCATTTTCAACTCATTAGAATAATATATCAACCACTGAAAAGCCTTTGAGAAACAGAAAAAATACAATTAGATCAACTCCAGTTCTGAAGCTAACATCCAAAACTTAACTAGAGATAATCGCCTCCCAGGAACACACATAAACCCAAAGCAACTTAAGGAGAAAAATGGCATACATGTCAAGGGTTTTCATTACCTCAAATGCCACAGAGGGCTTGTGTGTTAACCAATCAGAACTAGCCATGCCATCCCAAAAGTAGCCCAGTGATACTTTAAAGATTATTCCTCATTGACAGTTTACTGTCTTTAATTTACTATTTTTTAATCTGTATAAGAAAGAAAAATAAGACCTCAAAAACATTTTTCCAAGAAGTTTTATCAATTCTCTTACCATCAAATGTTAAATAAACTCTTGCTTGGGGCTGAGAAGATCCTCCGACACCGATAGAACAAATAAATACTCCAACCAACACACAAATCGCCTGGAATGCCATTTGTTCAGATTTGCAAGTTAATATCCAAAGGGAAATACCTTTAAAAGAGAGATAATACATTTATGATTTCTCATTTCACAGCCCTATAGAAGACAGCAACTGCTTCACAAGAAGCCCTGGGGTTCTGCTGTCAAACAGTAGGAGGTGCTGTGACTTTGCTTCTCAAATAGGAACATTTGATTTATTTGTGAAGTCTTTACAACAGGAGAACTGTTTTATGCTCCAGGAAAATGATGCTGAGGTCAAAGCAGAACAAAGCAGCAAGGAAAAGCTTATTGATTCCCCAAAGAAAGCTACTCCATAGCTGATTTTCTACCTAAAACCTGTTTCATTATAACGACTTGAGAGGGTACCAACAGAGTACTGATGAATTAAAACTCTCCCTCATAAATACAGTAGTAGGCACAGTCCATGTGTCCATTCAAGGTTCACACTCTCTTCCATGCTCATTAACTCTTCTGGATTAGCTGTCTCTCAAATGGTGTTTCTATACATAAATCTATGTGTATTCAATATCTGATAACTAAAATGACTCCAATTAATTTTTTGCCAGTGTTTTTAGATGACCAGGCAGCTGTTAAATGATGTAGATGAGGTAACCATGGAATTGTGCCAAATTGAAACCAATGATCTAGTTGGTGAGTAATCCACCAGGCGGTGTACTCATCAATGCATATTTTATATAAAACAACCAGAGAGTGGACTGTCAAAATTCCAGAAGATAAATCAGAGAGATAATATTCCTGTTAGAAACTGTAGCTCTAAAACTGACACATGCTATTAACTAATGACAAACCTGTAGGAACCCTAGTGGTCACACACAAATATACTCTGGACCACAAAAGAAATCCTATCACTTTTCACTGAGTATAATTATACAGCAAAATGACATGCAGGTTTCATATAGAAATGCATTTTTACAGTAATGATAATGCAAATTTTTATGTTCTTTAAATTGGAATCACATTTTAAATTCTACTTAGTAAAGAAGTTCCATTAAAATAGAAAAGATTGCTTCACTGACACAGAAGGAAAAAGAAAAATTAAACCCAACATGCATCTCAAACAAACAGTTCTAAGCTGTTCTCACTGATGGCAACAGAGTCAGACATGAAACTCTATGCCTCTACCACACAGATGGAGGAAACCCTAGAGATATTTGTGCTGCTAATTTTCAAAAGAAACAGTTTCTTCCTGCTTCCACAACCTCTTCACCCTGTCATCCCTAAATTAACTTAGAAGAAAATTGATTTTATGGGTGGCTTTCCCTTAGTAATTTATCCCTGGGATCTGCTGATTTAATAGTTAAAGGATGGGGGAGGGGGCTGTCCGTTAAAATGTCTAACCTTTGTCTGTTTATTAACAAGGCTGGAAATATTTACACATTTTTAATTTAGTGCTATTACCAGTATCTAATCTGATATGGTCCCAAAGAAGATACACGCCACCAACTGCAAAGAATAATATTGTAGAGGGTATGATAGATCAAATGGAGCTGGTCTATTGAACAACCTGACTTCAGTCCCACCTAGGGATGGGAAGTGAAAGCCAAGTCTTGTATGTACCCCCACCTCGCCCCCTCCCAGGTGACTTTACAACTTCTTCCCTTTAACTCAAGCAGTTAGTTAAACGTGCTTCTTCTACCTATTAAGAACTAATGACATATAAGAGTTCTTTTATGTCCTTCCCACCAATTTTTCCTTAGAAGGCATTGGAATACCCAATTTAAACTGTCCGCAGGTGCCACAGCCTCCAGCCCTGCTCTCAGCTCCTGAGTGCTTCCCTAGCAAACAGCATGGACTGCTAAGAAAATGCCCAGACTTGAGCACACCGATGCATGAAAAGTCAGTACACAGACCCAGAAAAGTTCTATTTCTCTGAATGTTGCTGAAAATCTCAAGTCTCACTTACCGAGGTGGAAAGCGTTCCGCGAGAAGTCATCCACTTGTTCCCGGGTGGGATCGTCAGTCCCGTCGGTCCTTCCCCCGGAAGACCTGGATGTCTGGGGCGTCCCGAGGGTGGGATTCTTGCTGCGGGGACCTCGGAGTTTCTTTGTAAAGGAATCCCCGGCCGGCAGTGCCGCGGCACCCGGAGCCCTGCTCCACGTCGCTCAAGCCGGCACCTCAGAGTGAATGGCAAGTGGCCGGCGCTGGGGGGAGCGCTCGGTGTCCGATTACAGCAACGCGGCGCGCTGCTGGGGCTGCCCCGGCGCGCCTCCCAGCCGGCTGCAGCAGCGGCCCCGCGTGGCCCGTAGCATCTGCACCGGCCGCCGCCCCACCCAGGGCGCGCCGGGCAGCCGGTGGCCGGGAGCCGGAGGGCGGAGCGCAGGCTGGCCTCGGCGCAGGAATGCCCTGCAGCGGGCTAGACTCTGCTACGACGCTGCCTTTGGAGCAAACACTGGCAGAGGGTTTTGTAGCGCGCGGCTCTTGGAAAGCAATGAGACTTTGCTTGGCTGTAAATATCCAAGTGCAAGGCAGTGTTTTGCCAGATGAAGGATCGCTGCATCCTTTTAAGGCAAAGAGTTGCGGTTTTTAAAGGGCACAGATCTTGTCTTTATTCTGGAGGTAATTTTCTAAAGCCAGGGGAGGGAAACCAACCTTCTCTTCTCAGAAGTTTAACCTTTTTATGAGTACCTTTTCTTACTGCGTTCTTATTGTCCTAAAGGCAGTAATTCTGGTGACCTTTCCACACTGAGTCATAGCCAGCACCTTCCTCCCCAAGACAGTCGCAAAACATAATTGTACAAAATTATTTTACTTTTTTTTTTTTTTTTTCAAGAATGCTGTTTTCAATAGTGCCAACACGTTGGGGCTTGTAAACCTAGACATCAGTTCTGTATTTCCAACAACACTGCTTTGAGGAAAACTCGTTAAACTTCGGAACTGACTTTGATGTTGGGCGAAAATTTCTTCTCCGGACCACAATAAAAGAAGTGGTTGAACTAAGAGAGAAAGTTTCTCTCCCTGTGAAATGAAGAAAGGAGCGGCGCTTGCTTGACAGTCACCGTGCGCTCAGCCCAATAGATGTCGCTGTGTGAGGGAACCATGAGCACAATTCGACCACTATATACTATATACATTTCCCTTACAAAATGAAGTAGAATCGAGTTCTTACTAAATGTTGCAGGAAACACCTCTGAGAGTACAGAATAGAATCACTGATCAGTAAGAAAAAGAATGGAAACTTGTTTTTTTAGTGGTTTATTATATTTTTAACTAATTATGGGAGTGGGGCGAAATGCACATGACAACCCTGAGCCCTCTCTCCAGGAAGAAATCATTTGTAGAAGTGTGAAATGACTGAGGACCATCTTTTCTGTGTCTGCACACTGCCTCTTAGGCCCAGTAGGTAGAAACGTTTCTGACGTTCTCTGTACACTGGAGAAATGATCACATCAACTCAATTTGTAAATTGGAGCTCATATTCTACTGCAAGATTCCATTCATTTTGGTGGTCTAGAACGTGAAGCATCTCTGAGATCTGCTTTCAGTCCAAGTAAGAAACAGGCAACGAACCTGACGGGATTCCCTCAGAGAAATAAATGTGAAAGGGCAGGAGATACAGGAACTATGTGCCCCTCACTGATCATTAGAGCGTTGCTCCACACCTCTTAGAAGCTTAGTACCAACAAGAACTTTTGAATAGGATGCATATGCTGTTGGGAAGACAGAAAATTAGGACAACCATTTTGGAAAACAGTATAAGGGGTCCTCTAAACTAAAAGAATTAGTATATAATTCAGCAACCCCACTGAGGGTATTTGACGTAGACAATGCCTACCTAATCATGGTCCTTGTAGTTGAATCCACAATAGCCAGGTCATCAGCCTAAGTGTCAATCATGGCCATGGAACATTGCATCATAAAATTCCACTTGACAATACTACCCAGACTCAGAAAAGAGGGAAATTCTGTCATTTGTGCAAATATGGTTAGAATTGGAGAACTATGTGCTAAGATAAATAGGCCTCAAACAGACAAATATCATTTGTCTTTGTCTGTGAAACTGAAAACGACAGAATTCTGAGAAGCAACCGTGGTTAGCAGAGGCCGGGGATAGTGGAAGTGGGTGAAACTGGCTGAGAAGTTTGATTTTTTTCCATCCTTGCATTTTTGTGTATTTCAATATTGACAAGAGAATATAGTATCTAATATTTTCATAACAAAAAAGAGTATGGATGCACAATTAGTTTTAAACTCTTCATATTATATTCAGAAGTCATACCACTACATTGTCCCCATAAACCAACTATAATTTGTCCATATGTAATAAAAAATGCATAAGTCCACTTATTTTAATTTTGAAAAATTAAATTAAGTTCAAGAGCTTAAAATGATATTCCAAGAATTTTATCATTAAATTTATCTGAGATTTTTCAAAACAATTTTCTATTTAATAGATGTTTTATTTCAAACCTTAATATAGTATTGGGTAAACTAAATTTCAGAATATCAGTGTTCTAAAAATGTCAGCAACTCTTTGACAGAAGTTTGTAAAACATGGATAAAACCTGAAAAGCATCTGATTATAGTAAATAGCAATTGGTAATGTAAACATGCAGTGTGCTTGCTTCTTTGAGATACTTTACTAAGATATACATTATAAACTGTGCAGTTATTTTTATATGTATGTTAGCTAAAATGAATTATTATCTTCATTTAAGAGTTAAAATGAATCATTAGAAGGATGACAGGATTATTAATCAAGAGATGAAATGTTGTTAGAAAGTGATTAACACACAAATCCATGTGAATTAGAACTTCTTTAAACATTTTATTTTTTTATTTTTTAAGGATCTAAAACAGAACCACAGGCAAAAGCCAAATGGTGTGCTTAACAGAGAGTTAAATTCCAAACTATGTTTTCAGAATCCCCGGGAATTAGTTTAGTCTTTCACACTACTTATAAGGCTTTTGGAGACTGTGACAAATAGCTTAGATTTAATCACAGTCTCAGAAACTTGCACCAAGATTCCCTTTATGCAGCCTGAGTAAACTGTTTTCAATGTGCTCCAGGGATTTAATGGTATTTGCTTAGTCCTGAGACATTTACACTTGGCCACACCTCAGAGTGAGTCATAAAAATACTGATAGGTATTAGCCAAGTAAAGTTCAAGCCCAAGGGCATAGTCACTGCTCAAGGTTTACCTGAACAATAGGCAATAGAATGACATGAGAGTCTTATTAGGCATCCCTGAAATTTTCCCTAAACTGCTTAGGAGCCTGAAACACCTTGACAAGGCAAGGCTTGGTGGAGAAACACAGAACCAGAACCACCTTTTAGGGTATCATCATCGACTCTGTGGGTCTACAGCAGCAATAACCCAAGCAAATCTGGACGCTATTGATTGCCAAACGTTTTCTCACTGAAATGTCTTGGGAAAAATTAGCCAGGATGGAATACTTTTGACAAGCATCTTAGAAAGTTAGTGCCTTCCATGGCTATTTACTTTGTCTCTATCACCCTTATGTCGTCTTAGGTTGCAATAGCAGCTCTGAGAGCAACTGGTCCAACAGGTTTGATCTAGAAAATTTGTGTGTGGAGTCGCTATCTGACAAACTTTTTTATTTCCTTCATCAAAATCATTTCAAATTTTTGAACAGCGTGAGGGTTTCACTTTCATTCTCAATTCGTTGTTAATCAATATCCCTGAACACTGATCTCTTTCTTTTTGAATATGTGTTAGACTCCATGGTTTCTAATTTCAGGGTCTGAGGGAGAAAAAATAAATTAATTAGTTAATGGCAGTGATTTCTTCTAAGTTAAGACACCAGCGTCCAGAATGAGAGCGCCATTATTGAACATTATGGTTTGAAAGCAAATGAAGACACATTAAGAAATTTAAAGTTAGGGGCTGGGGATATAACTCATAGTAGAGTGCTAGTTTACAATGCCCAGAAATTAATTAATTAATTAAAAGCTCAAGTTTTCAACATTTCTTTTAAAATCATTAAATATTTTAAATGCACCCTAGTATTACCCATCTGAAGCATACCGAGAGTCTATTGTCTTTAATTTTTATGTATTACAATATTTCTCTTGTAAAGTTGAACAGAAGAGTCTGTTAGTGACTCCACTTCTTTAATACAAACTGTCATGTGTACGTGACAAAAGTTGTGAAAGAATGTTTTGAGCATTCACACTTTCATCCAAGGGTGCAGGGTGAACTTGGCCTTTCTTTTGTCCTTATTGGAATCAACCAGGCAAAGCCTCAGTGAGGGTGAAGAATAAGCCTCTGGGGTTAACAAGACACAACTGCTTTATAGATGTCCCATGATTATTTAATAAATACAGTCTTTTAGTTAAATATTTGCACACATACTCATAGTACTTGAGAAAAGCAACTGCTTTGCTGAGCTATTGTATCTAAAGTTTCTCCTAACCTGGGAGCCCTAAATTCTTCCCAGTATTAATTCTCCTAAGATGGCTACATGAGGGCTATGGAAGGAAATGCCTTTGATTGTCAGGGGAGGAATGAGAATGAGACTAGCAGAGGGAGCTTGAGTGCAGAACTGTGTGTTATAGCCAATTGAGCCCCATCTCCAGCCCGTCAGCAGGGCTAAGGCTTTCCCTAAGTCATCTCCAAATTTTACTATTTTTTTTACTCTTCTTGACCTTTAAATGGCTAACTAGAAAGGAGTATGAAATTGCATAAACAGCAACTCTATTATCCTGGCAGACACATTTTCATAATAAATGGCATATGACAAACTTGATTGTCTTCCCCAGCAGTGATTTCTAGAAGACAGAGTATAGAAAGCTTGAAAAGTCTGAACCATCGATTCTGTTTAATTGATTTACTTTTAGTCGTGATACTTAATGATATGAAATTCAGGTGACAATTAATAGCTCTAAAGAAGGACATGTCATTTTCATTTTTTTAAACAACCATGACAAAATGTATGATGTAAAGTTTTGGAGCAAATATCAATGATCTCATTCTTTTTGATGGGGTGTGTCTCCCGTGGTGAGTTCACTGAATACTAGACCAACAATGTACCTAAGGGAACATCTGATTTAAAGGGCAGGCCACATTAATAGGCATGTACAAAGACCATTTCTTTTAATCTCCAGAACAGCAAAGCAAGAAGATTTTAAGTATATCCGCTACTTCACAGAACTTTCCCCAGCTGGGCCCCTAACTAATGAATTCATGTGGCCTGAATGCAGAAAGCCAATATACTTCCTGCTTTGTGCAGTCCATGGTGCATGTATTTAATGAAAACTCG